CTGTCTGACGCGTCTGCCTCCGCGACCCGAAAGGAGAAGCGGCGATGGAAGATGAAGATGAAGATGGAATTTCTACTCTTGCATAGACGAACTGCTTCAGATGGACATAGTTTCGCACTTCTTCAGGCATAAGTCTGTTCACTTAAACAGATCACACCGTCACACTTGTTTATACATGGCGCGAGTCTTCTTCACATTCATTCATTTGCAGTCCCTCGTTCATGCTGGCGTCGTTCTGCTCTTGGATTCTGCTTTAAAGTTCTGTTGGTTATGTTCAAAAGATAAAAATGTACTCCTCAAACTGCACATGGCTAAAATAGTTCTCGTTTATGCCAAATCCCTGATCTTTCAACGAAGCGTCTTGAAAATCTCTTCTATCGCTGCAGTGAATAATTTCGCTAATATTGTTTCACAGTCAGAGCCTTCTTCAATTTTGAATCTGCTTGTGCTTTGGTGAAGCTTCACACTAGTAGTTGTATTATTGTAAATTATGGCGATGAGCTGTCTGTATCTACCTTTTCTAGATTCCATGACACCTCAAAAGTTCAATTCAGACCGGGTCTAGACTGAGTCGACGATTTTTCGAAATTATCAGACCTCACAGAGAGGAAGATTATATTCGTTGCTTGTCTAAATTATGTATTGTATCGTCTGGACATGATTCATCGTGCTACATTCTTGTCTGAGTTTTGCTAACTACTTTGACTGCATAGCAATCAGTTTCTCCCCAATGCCTGTCATTCACCATCGAATATCTGGTAAATGACTGATAACAAACTGACTGACCTGTAGTTCTTTAAATGGCCTCTGTTTCTCCCTTCTTGGAGTACAATCATCAATATGGTAGTTCAGCAGTGTGGACCTTTCGGTTCCTTCAGACAAGGACGCTAATATCTTAACTATGAATGGTTAAATGTTACCTTTACACCTATAGACGTGGATCCCAATGGTAATATCGAACTGATAAAATAACTGCTTCATGGTTATAGCTACCAAACAACTTCACCGATATGTCTAAATGAGATTAACAACCGTCAGAAAAAAATTCATAGAAGTATTACATCGATGCTAGTGGCTAACGCATCAATCAATTCAACTGTCTGTCGATCGACCTTAAAAAGCCAACAACACAGCGATTAACTTCATTCTTCAATTTAACACGTCGCACAAAACTATCCAAATCGTAGTTACGCCTGGTGAGCCAAAAAGACGAAAAGGAGAAACAAGGGCACACGAAAACCAACCAGATACTGCAAATTGTTTCAGGCAAATTTTAACGGCGGCTAAAAAACCATCAGCTACGACGATTTGTGCAGCGAAACTCAGGCATGACACGTCATCAAAGAAAGCAAAGTAAAAGTTTCGCATGGACTGACGAATAAATACGTTTGGATATGTAAGAAAAAAGACAAAAAGTAATGATGATGGTCGTAAATCAATCTGATGTCCACTGTCACAGGTGGACGCGAAGCTATTAACAGATTCGTCATCGGAATTCGTACCTTCGGGCGATCGACCTCATTTTCAAAAACCCGATGTTAAAAGACTGACCTCCGACGCGTTGGAAGGCAAAAAATATCTCGGTAATAATCTGAATGACAGTTATATAGCATGATGACTGCAATAGAAACAAACCTTCTTATTGACGATTCTCAAACACTCAGACCGCGTAAGAAGACATTCAGAATTTCGAGTTAAAAAACAGCATTATTATTACTTAGGCTTTGGTCTGCCTGATTTTTTTGATCCATCAGTTGCATTACTTTTACCCAATTGCAAGCAGGAGTTAAACATTCATTTCTCGCACCACATGTCCAAAAACAACATCGCAACTTATCTAAGTAACGTGAATTCAGTCTACCGAAAAACTGTATGATTGTTGAGTTCATCGTTTTAAACGGCTTGCAAAGGAATAGCATTTCTGGTTTTAGATGGCCGCTTTTAAACACCTGGTACACGGTACAAATTACTCGATCGTAGGAGTAATAATTCCTTTTTGAAACACTACACTACTTGAACGCAAGGTAAAACGTAATACTAAATATGCAAATTTAAAAAGCAACGAAATATATTTAAATGCGCAATTTAAATAAGAAACCAAAACTATCTCAAATCAAATCATCGCCGCCAAGTTCAGAGAAAAACGTCGCACTTACAATTCGACCATCCATTCTTTGGTCAGCAATTGTCTCCAGTTCTCTTCTTCGATGTGAATGACGCTGTTGCCGAAAACACACACCAACCCTGCGACGACGTACACCACTCTCAGAACACTAGCTGGCGGCATACCGTAAAATTCTACGACTTCTAAACTCTGAGAAAGCACCTACAGAAAGAGCACAACAACGCAAATCGCATATATGTGGGTCAGCACATGCGCTGTCTCGAAATTATACGGTCTAATTCATAAGATTTGCAGGTTCTTTAACAAGGGCGGGAGTCGAACAGCGTCCTTACGGCTTTCACTCGCTATAATGCTGACAGTACTATTCAGCGAAATTTCGAACGACGGTCTACTAATA